GGGGTAGTTGTTACGTTGTAGGGTACTACTTATACTGACCAATTCTTTATCTAACGTCTCTGGGTCGCCACTTATGACTTCTACTCGGTGTTGTAAGCAACGGACGATCCCTTTCTTTACGTTGTATGGATGGTGGGAGTTGAAATTGAGGTACTGTCCAGTGAATATCGGTTTACGGTATACGGATGTCTTAAACCCATGCTCTGTTCGAGATATTAGAACATCCAGGAATGGGAGTGCGTTGTTACACTCTTTCTCCATTGTGAACTGTATCGAAGGTCTTATTGAGTTCCCATGGTCCAGTAGAACCTGAACATTTTCCTGGTATGACCAGAGTATGAAGGTGTCATCTACGTGCCTTGACCATATAGTTGGCTTTAGAGATATAGATTCTAATGCCATTTCTTCAAAGTATTCCATGTATATATTCGCCATTGCTGGTGATAATGACGAGCCCATTGCTAAGCCCTCATCCTGTCGATATATGTGTGATCCCATTCCGAAGTGTGTTGTTTGTGTACAGAAAGTCAACATCTCCATCAGATTATCTATTGGAATACTGGTCCGTTCTTCTAGGGAAGAGTCAGAGGTCAATCTGTCTCTGACTACTGAGAGTGCCTCCTCCGTGGGTACCTCGGTGAACAAACTCACCACGTCCAAGCTCACCATCTGGTTGGATAGGATGGGAGTTTCGGACTGGGATAAGCGGGTACAAGAGGAGGAGGACAACAACACTCAGAAACACTGCTTTGTGTGAAGGGGTTATCAGAGAAAATACAAAGGATCTGCGGTCCATATAACATCAGGACAACCTTCAAAAGCTTGACAACACTTCGCAGATATCTCTCCCGAGTAAGACCCACCCCCATAGAGGATAACATGACTAAAGACTGTGTGTACGCCATCCCGTGCAGCTGCGGAAAGGAATGTAAAGGGGAGACAGGTCGCCCCCTTAAGGTAAGGCTTCAAGAACACCAGAAAGCTGTAACACGAGGGGAAGTAGAAAAATCAGGCGTGGCTGACCACATATGGAGAGAGAAGGGAGATCACCGCCCTCAGTGGGATCATGTTGAGATCATTGACAAGGAACACCATTGGAAAATTCGTAAAATTAAGGAATCAGCACATATGCTAGGCCACAAAAATCTCCTGAGCCGACCAAGCATAGAAATAAATACAATATGGGAACCAGTAATAAAGAGTGCCAGAAAAAAGCAATGATAACAACATAGTTGCAATATGAGCTCTGGTAAAAACATGCAATGATAACAGCAAAATTGCAATATGAGCACTGTTAAAAATGGTTGCTGAAGACATTAGGTTTATAATACCCAGAAATTCATATGTCCTCAAGGACACATGGCACAGTGGATAAAGGCGTTGGTTAGATCCAGTGACAGGACCCAAAGAGTGTGAGTTCAATACCCGGTTAAGGCAGTGGAGAACTTTCAGAGGGAAATTAACAGGAGATAACTGATAACTGACATCCATCAAATATGGCACGTGGAACTAGAACAGTGAGCGAAATAAAGGGTTCGGTTCGATATTCCAACCACCTGAAGAAGGCCGGAACGTACAACGGCCGAAACGTTGTGATATAGCGAAAAAGATGAGGACAATAGTCCGAATAATGTAAATAATGTACATAATACCTCATCTCAGAAATATATATAGATAGATGTATGAAAACAAAGATACATGTGAACCGATAGATTGATGCGAAATAATAGATTTTTTAATCGATTTCAACCCGAGCATGGCTGTGAAGATATTAGGACACAAGTTGTTGCTGGGTGTTAAAGAATTAGATAAGAACTTTACTAAAGGTCAAAAACAAAAGAGTAATCAGGTAGACAAGGGAAAGCTTTTTACATTGCGTTTTTATTTTAAAGTTGGCTAGGATGCATGGTGTCTGAAGGGAGTTCCACAAGCGAGAGTATTCACTCCAACTTTGGTGTTACAACGAGTTTTGTTGGTCTTTCGCTCAACTGCACCCCCACACATAATAATCAAGGGGGATGCAGAGTGGGGAATTAGGTGGGCGGACGTAAGGTGTGATGTGGTCGCAGAAATTGTCTGACAGCCATGACTGGGTTCTCCTGCGGTAGGTGTGGCATGGTGTTGAGACCTATTGCCAGACATAGGGCCTTCCAGTAACCACCCTCTTGACCTAGGGCAGCGTTACCTCTTCAAGTCACTTGATGTGGGCCTCCGTGCTGAGTCTGAGGCCCTGTTGGAAAATGAATGGAGGAATAACGTCGCCATCACTAATGATCACTCTAAACACCATAATGTTGGCTGGATATATCATCCAACTCTTTTCCGAATGCTCTGTACTGTCCTCAGATTAACACCGAAACACTTTGAAATGTTCGTATTTGAGCTTCCGGCGCGAATGTCAAGCAGTACATCATGCCGCTTCCATATTTCTACGTAGTGAATTGCGTTCATCGTACTCTTTTTCTCACAGGCAGTGACCAACTGACGCTACTTTTCTATGCTGTCGACAAAATCAAAAACAAACAACGCGCATGCGTGATATTAAAGATATAAAATGGCGAAGATTTACCCATTGCACTCTGTATATGAATAGATTGATAGGATACGAATAGAGAGATTGGTAAATGTATACAGATTGTTAAATATGAATGCATAGATATGTATGAACAGATAGATGTGAATGGATATATAGATAATATGAATACATAGATAGATATGAAGAGATAATATAGAGAAAAATGAACACAGGTAAATAAATATGTACATACATACATACATAAGAATAGATATATATACCTATGTAGGCATGAACAGGTACATATGAATAGGTAGTTATGCCTGAACAGATACATAGATATGTATAGATATATATCCATGGATGCATAGATATCAGTAGATAGATACATACATATCGATAGATAAATAGATAGGATATACATACAAACATACATATGAATAGGTAGATATGTATGAACAGATAGATAGCTATGTATAGATAGATATTAATATAAAGATTGGTGGTTAGATAGATACATAAGAATAAATATATAGATAGATAGATATGAATACAAAGATATAAATAGTTGGATAAAAATAGATAGTTTTATAGATATAGTAACAAATATTTTAATATATATAGATATGAACAAATATATTTATATATATATAGATAAATGAATATTTATATATATATATATATATATATATATATATATATATCAGATAGATAGATAAATAATATTTATATATATATATATATATATATCTGTCAGTATAGATAGATAAATGAATATTTATATATATATATATATATATATATATATATATCTCTATCAGTATAGATAGATAAATGAATATTTATATTATATATATATATATATATATATATATCTGTCAGTATAGATAGATAAATGAATATTTATATATATATATATATATATATATATATATATATATCTATAGATAGATAAATGAATATTTATATATATATATATAAATGAATATTTATATATATAAATATATATATATATATATATATATATATATATATATATATATATAGATAATAAATGATATATATTTATATATATATATATATATATATATATATATATATATATATATATATATATATATAGATAAATGAATATTTATATATATATATATATATCAGTATAGATAGATAAATGAATATTTATATATATATATCTGTCCAATATATATATATATATATATATATATCAGTAGATATATGAAAAGAAAGATACGTGTGAACCGATAGATTGATGCTAAACAATAGTTAGATTTTTTTTTAATCGATTTCAGCCTGAGCATGGCTGTGAAGACATTAGGACACAAGTTGTTTCTGGGCGTTGAAGAATTAGATAAGAACTTTAGTAAAGGTCAAAAACAAGAGAAGAGTAATCAGGTAGACAAGGGAAATCTTTTTACATTGCGTTTTTATTTTAAAGTTGGCTAGGATGCATGGTGTCTGAAGGGAGTTCCACAAGCGAGAGGTGCGAAATATGAATAGATCTAGATGAACAGGTAGATAGAGCGAAATCGATATCTAAATATGAATAGATATTTATGGAGTGATAGATAGATATGAATAGATAGATATGATCTGATACATAAATATGAATAGCTATTTATACACTGATAGATCGATAAATAAATATGCATAGATATTTCTGAACAGATATATATATATATATATATATTCATGAATTATTCACACAAAACAAATGCAAGGTTAATGATTTAATTGGCGAGAAATCCATCGTCGCAAACAATTCAAATAATATACAAAACCTCGAATCCGTTATGAATGAAAAGAGAATCCTTGTTTCCATAAATTTCTGCCGTATTAGTTCTTTTTTTTTACTACAAAGCTTTCGTCTGTTCCTAAGACATCTTCAATAGAATAGATGTTGTTCTTGTTTTTTCTCTTAAGGAGCATTTTCATACAATACATATATTTTCGTTTTTTGTCCTCTTATTTGAATTGTTTGACGATGGAAAAGCAATTAAACATTAACCTTTGTATTTGTTTTTTTTGTGAATAATTCATGAATTTATTTATAAATTGATTTACGTTTATATATTATATATATATATATATATATATATATATATATATATATATATATAACATGTAGATAGCTTAACATCCATAGATATATATGAATAGATAGATATGAACCCGAAGATAGATAATGTATAAGCCTAGATAGATATTGAACGCATACTATGAAAACAGATTAAAAGTGACTATTTCATGAGGTAAATTGAGTAATTTTCTGTGATAGCTGAGAAAAGGATTTTCTAAAGATATCTTCTATGATTATATAGCTGTACAAGGTCAATTTAGTGTGAGACATAGTAACAATCAAACATTTACGAAGTGCTATTTTACTTTTTCCTCTGCAAGTTTGGACGCTACACGCTGGCATTTATCTCTGCGCGCGCGCCCGTGTGTGTGTGTTTTCCAGTATGAGATGCACCTCCAAGGTAATAAATTATGTGTCTTCAATTGAATCAATCGTGGGCGGTGGTTTTGGGAAATTCAACAAGAGAACAATAAAAAATAGAAAGAATTTTCCCGATTGTCTTTCCAAGTGAATCAAATTCCCCCTACTAATCTTTTTCTTCTTCTTTTCTTTTTCTTCTTCTTTTCTTTTCCTTCTTCTTTTTCTTTCTTTTCTTTTCCTTCTTCTCTTCTTTCTCTCTTCTTCTTTCTCTCTTCTTTTTCTTCTTCTTTCTCTCTTCTTTATCTTCTTCTTTCTCTCTTTCTTTTCTTCTTGCTTTTCTTCTTCTTTCTTTCTTTTTCCTCTTTCTTTTTCTTCTTTCTTTTTCTTCTTTCTTTTTCTTCTTCTTTCTTTTTCTTCTTCTTTCTTTATCTTCTTTTTCTTCTTTCTTTTTTCTTCTTTTTCTTTCTTTTTTCTTTCTTTTTCTTCTTTTCTTTTTCTTCTTTCTTTTTTCTTCTTTTCTTTTTCTTCTTTCTTTTTTCTTCTTTTTCTTCTTTCTTTTTTCTTTCTTTTTTCTTTATTTTCTTCTTTCTTCTTTATTTTTTCTTTTTTCTTTATTTTTTCTTTATTTTTTTTTCTTTATTTTCTTCTTTCTTCTTTCTTTCTTCTTCTTCTTTCTTTCTTTTTTCTTCTTTCTTTTTTCTTCTTTCTTTTTTCTTCTTTCTTTTTTCTTCTTTCTTTTTTCTTCTTTCTTTTTTCTTCTTTCTTCTTCTTCTCTCTTTCTTCTTTCTTTCTTTCTTCTTTCTTTCTTTCTTTTCTTTCTCCTTTCTTTTTTCTTTTCATACTACATATTTAACATCTATCTCTCGCCTTCACGCTTGTATTCTCCATTTTTTAAATTAATACCTTCCCTTTTATATAACAGACCCTCTCATCGTCTTCGACATATGCAGTCCAACAACTCAGTTCTTAGAACAGATCATTCAGATTACCCAAACATTTTTGGTTATTATGGTGAAGGCTTGTTCAGAACTTCAAAAGAACTGAATACAGAGAACTGGAGGAAAGAGTGTGCCACAATGTCTTCAAATGTCCCC